AATCTTTATTACAAAAACAAAAAGGGGGAGACTATATGGAATCCCCAAGATGACGAATAGCCCAAGCTCTATTTACTCATAATTTTTTGAATAGAAATGCAGAAAATTCAACACCAGCTGAAAGACAATGGGCACATGTATCTAGTGAACCACTACAACAACCTATATATTATTATGATACACTAAAATCCCTTTGGCTTCTGGCAGTAGTTAACCATTGGGGCCGAGGTTATGCTTATATCTCTGCAGATATTGAATGCTTTTGGATACCGGATAAGAGGATTAAGCTGAGAAATGGCTCAAAAGAGAAAGAAGGAAATGGGAGAGATTCAGAAAGGCATAGCAGATCTTCAGATTGACCCAAATAGCCAGAAAATGTTTCATTATCCCCTACCAAACACTCAAATGGTGACGATACCAACTTGGAGACAGATAAAGAAATTGACTCAAGAAGCAAATAAGATCACTGAACAACATGGCCCTGGGGGTAATGCATCAGCAATGTTTTTGGCCATGATGGCTTTGGTGTCCACTCAGGTTGGTTTTGCCACTGCTGATAATCATACTTATTGGGCCTATATTCCACATCCTCCCATTAAACAGGCCATTTCTTGGTATGATGCCCCATTGTTAGTGTATGCTAATGACTCTAGATGGATGCCTGGACCATATTCCCAGCGAGGACCTTTAAAGCCTGAAAAGGAAGCAACTAATGTTACAAATTATACAGTGGGATTGGGGGGACCTCCTATTTATATTGGACATGGTGATCATTGTCTTAAAATTGCACCCCAGACATGGTTAACTGTTACAAAAAATACTACAAATAAGGAACAGTTACAACGACTGTTTTTGTTAAGTGCCTATAGTTTCCACAATTCTTTATTTGATCCAAACGCTTCTGTACCCCATATTCCTCCCTGTCAAATACCTATTCTGAATTACTTGTCCCAATGGGCTCCCTGGACTACTTGTAGGGGAGAAATGGCCCGAGTACTGGTTAATACTTCCTATGAAAATGTCATTGATTGGAGTCCTATTGGCTCCGCTCGGACCAAAGGCCACACTTCAGATCTAAAGTGGAATAAACATAATAATACTATAAGTACTACAGGAAATGAGTCTATTGTATGGCACGGTGGAGGATTTACACCTCCATTTCC